AGATTGGTAGATTAAAGTAGACATCCATGTAGGGAAGGTGAAACATAAAAATAACTGTAACTTTTATTTACTGTATCTAACCCGTACTAGTTCGGTTAGGTTAATTGCAATAAAGTTGCATTGATATGTTTTGAAAATGTTTTATTATCATTAAATGTTTATGAGTAAATCCCAGTAGCAGAACAATAAATATCTAAAGATTTCCAATAATTTTGGCCATTGTAGCGGCGCTACATTTTGCTGTAGCGGTAGCGCTCGCTACAATCTAGTGGGTGTAGCGGTAGCGGTAGCGCCCGCTACATTTAGAGCATGTAGCGGTCGCGGTAGCGCCGCTACATATCAAAGTAGCGCTGCCCAGCTCTGTCTAAATGTAGCGGGCGCTATCGCTACATTGCTTAAAATGTAGCGCCGTTACCGCTACTGAAAATGTAGCGGCCGCTACATGTAGTGCGATACTGCCCACCTCTGAATATATGTTCAGATTTGAAATGCCTAGCACCATATCGAACCCGGTTGAAGTCGAGTAGCTAATTCACACTATCATCAGTCGTGAAAAGATCCGGTCAAATGACACGATTTTAGATCTTCTGTGAACAAGGCACGAAAAGGAAAAGAATCGGCGACAGGCGGCCTACACTTCAGCGCCGAGATCACTATGTTATGTTAAAATTCACAAAAGTTGTCCGTAGACTTCGTGGAGTTTTCTCCTGATCATAGAGCATACAGCCACGTATTGTGGTGACGGGGTAACATATTTAAACCAGCATGCAGGTAACATCTATCTGGCATCTAGATTCTAAATCTTACAATGAAACGCGTGAAGTATTTCTCAGTTTAGCGAGTCAGAAAAATTGCAGGTAAATTCTAACGTATTTCAATGCTCAGTTGCTGCTTTGTTAAATATTTGCATGTGATTGAAGTAAGTGGTGAGTCCCATGCTTACATCACAGTCGCTGTATCCATGTATGTCAGTTGAATTTTTAAAGTCTGATTATTATCAATAAAAAATAACAAATGAATTCCATTACGCTTTTTAGGCATATTTTATATTACAAGTTTTCTACTACATGCAGCAGCTACTGAACGTACATAGTGCGTTTATTGTAGGCAGGGTTCAGTGACAGTTGACCTGATTATGTAAATATTTTAGTTATGCTTCAAATCAGGTAAAAGTCGTTCATGCTCAGTAGTCGTGGTACGAGTGCCACTTCTCTCTTGAAATTGCGAGCTTGATGTCCTGCGTAAGTTGCAGAGTATTTGTGTAGCCTAAATTTACCTATTGGGTAAACGGGCGTATAAGGATGAGGTACTGTTTTAGCGGAGATGTTAAAAATTGTAGAGATATGCAGCGTAGGCGATATGTTCGATATTAGCAAACCACATAAAGTTCCATGACCATTCACAACCCAAAAATTAAGTCCTTATTAAGAAAATAGTCATTTGATCAAAAGAAAGATTGAAGCCTGTAAATAAGTTTCGGTTTTCAACTTTTTAATTAACAGTTATAGTTTTTCGAGCATCATAAATAATGCATTACTATCATCTGTTAGTAAAGATGATTAGACAAAATATTAGATTAGTTTCATGATTTCACCTGCAACGAACATGAACGTCGCTGAATAATAAAATTGTAGACATTGTGAAATGAAGTTTCAAATTGTTCAAATCACCCACAAAAAACTGCAGAGTGGTTAGAAAATGTCAAGCGTGTTTGAACATAGAATGCATCTAGGTTAATAATTCTCTGTAGTGGGAAATTTTGATTCTGACATCATTTGATGTAATTAAATCTGATTTAAAGCGATATGAGTTGTGAACTCCAACTCAAGTATCTGTTGACGAGTTACGATCCCACCTCGAAGTACGGTGGCGAAAGATTCCATGCTACTCGAATTCTCACTGTTCCCTTTACCACGTTATACTGGTATCGTAATAAATTCTTGTCATAATTGACTTCGATATTTTGTGATCTTAAATGCGACGATCTAACGTTTCAGAGAGTATAAAATTTCACTAATACCAGTATCACGTTGGAATTATCACCTATTATTTTTGTGAACCCGAATCCTTTTCAGTAAATTTTTTGTATATGTTTCCACTGATCTTAAAGCTCGGTTATAAAGACCTAGCAATAATAAACATGAAGTAAAGTAAACTTCACTAGTCGAGAAACTCAAAAACATTCTATTTCTGTCCGGTCTTCAAAATGAATTTTCTTCCTTTCAATGTTTCATGTTCTTACCCCACAAAAGACACTTCAAGCTAGCGCATAACCAAAGTCGATTTCTCCACAACATTATACTATTTAAAAAAAGCTGAATTTTATTTCCGAGAAAAAAATCTGATGTCATTAGGTATAAAGTATACAAGAAACTTTTTTTGATATGATGAAGCCCACACTGAATAATTGTAATCACATATAGTTTAAAAATGACAGAGAAACGAAATCATCTACACCTATAAACTTCACGCCAGACCGCTCATTCACTAGAAAATCGATTGCGCGAATAGTCATGGTTGATAAAGCCAATTGAGACTTCAAGTCAACAAGCCGAGAACCTAACGTCAATAACACTTTCAAAAGCTACTAATACGTCAAAAAGCGCTAAAAAAGTTTTATGGGGTAATGAAGAGTCGACAGTTTTGGCGTGATCATATATATCTATGATGACAACATCTGTGGTATGTATAAGAGGCTTATTGTGGCACGTTTCATTGGGCAACACGTCGAGTTTGGGTTCCACTCTCATGCTGGCGTGGAGCAGTTGAGGGGATATGATGCATTGTGATGTCGACTTCACACATTCCGACGAGCGTTCCTTCAGAATAAGTGTGTAACAATGTGGCTTGATGAGACCAAAAGCACAAAAGCTTTGTTATTTACTACGTCACTTTAAGCGGATTGTTTTGCCACAGTCAGATCCGTAGCTCTCCTAGTAGAAAATGTACTATACACACGACAACACGTCATTATTTCAGAATTATTCTTCTATTGATAAAGAAGGGCTCAGTTGTTGAGGCGACGAAATAATTCACTCGAAGCGAACAACATGATATATATTACCAAGGCTAACTCTTGACCAAAATCAACACCCTGACATGTTTGTTAACAAATGCGTTCTCAAAGAATCAGTATGATTTATTGTCTTCCCGCTTTAAAGGGAAACACGATACATAAAACGTTAACGACTCAAAGTCGGAAATAAGAACCGTCACAGACAATCGCTACAGAGCAGACTTCAGAAAAGCTCAATTATTTAATTTCGTAGTAACTTCAATAAGAATAAATACGGGCATGCGTTGTTCGGCCAGCGACTTGTGACAAACTGACCCTTGATATCACAAGGAGCTGAACTCGCTAGCAAGCTATGGTCTTACCATGATGTATGGCTGTCAAAATAAAATTGTTTAGATATTAAGGTTTATTATTACTACTTGAGCTTCTTTCGCCGAACTTTAAGAAACAAATTGATGTCATCCCATGATGATCAACGGGAACTTCCTTCAGATAAGTTAGAATCAAGTAATAATAATCCGCTAAAATGTCCTGCCATTAAAACAGTCACGAAACTAGTGTCACCTGCTCAGCTTATGCTGCACCTGAACTACAGGGCTAACTATATACACTGAATAAAAACCGCCTAGTATATATAAGTCAGCATCATTTCTTCACGCCAGCCGCCTGCAGCGCTGCCTTCTTAGCCTTCACCATCTCTACCAACTCCTGGAATGTAATAAGAACATAATTAATGAAAAGCGATTTGCACACACCAAGGCAGCTTGGCGGAAATTAGAAAACTTTTACAGTGCAGATGACATGATAATCCTGATAAATATCAAGGTGAAATGATACCGCTCTCGTGTGGTGAAACAGCAGCAAGCGTCCATCAAGTCCCCCATGCTAGTACTGATGCAGCAAGCATACATTAAGTCCCCCATGCTGGTAATGATGCAGCAAGTATACATCAAGTCCCCCATGCTGGTACTGACGCAGAAAGCGTGCATCAAGTCCCCATGCTGGTACTGACGCAGCAAGCGTCTATCAAGTCCCCCATGCTAGTACTGATGCAGCAAGCATACATCAAGTCCCCCATGCTGGTACTGATGCAGCAAGCATCCATCAAGTCCCCCATGCTAGTACTGATGCAGCAAGCGTCCATCAAGTCCCCCATGCTAGTACTGATGCAGCAAGCATACATCAAGTCCCCCATGCTGGTACTGACGCAGCAAGCGTCCATCAAGTCCCCCATGCTAGTACTGATGCAGCAAGCATACATCAAGTCCCCCATGCTGGTAATGATGCAGCAAGTATACATCAAGTCCCCCAGGAATATAATGGACTTGATGGTACTACCAAAGTATGACCATGCACAAGTCTCAGACAATTCATCAATTCCATCTTTCCTTCATGCTTCCGTAGGTTACGATGAGAAACCATTCTCTAGAAACAGTTTTGCTAACAAGCTTTGAACGAAGTTACAAACACTTTTCTTGTTTATCTCATGTTGTTGGCTAATATGCAAAGACTACAAATATATTCATAATATAGCCTAACCCTAGATTTTGGGCTAAATGGGATTTATCTCCTCCCCTTTGCTTCAAACGCGAGCTTAACGATAGGACATCTTACCTCACAACATCGAAGAGCTTTATTTACAAGCTAACTGTAGAACACTTCTCAATTATAGTCGTACTTTCTTCTCCTGCGTTGTTTCTTAGGCTTGGGCTGCGTCTTCATTACCTTATACCGCCGCATGCAGTCCTTTTTGCTGCGCCCTGGAATGGCTTCAGCGATGCGGTCCCAGCGCTCTGGGGTGTTTGCTGCATACGTCTTCAGAGCTTGCTCGAGTCGAGCCTGCTCCTCCGACGACCATGGAGATAAATTAACGCCCAGCATCTCTGCGGGCGCTGTATGGGCAAAAATATCAGTTTTAGGTACTTACAGATGGTACTCCGAAAGAATGATTGCTTGCAAACTAACAAAAAAGTAAAAATTTACTGATAGCATCAAGTCAGTGAACACTTTAGTACAACTATCTCTACCATAGATGATAATAGTAATGATTTGCGTCAGAAACACTGCCCTTTACTTGAACATCAATCAAAGTATTCGTAATTTTTCACTCAATTAAGCGATCTACTTTCTTGAGGTTGGAAGGAGGTTAAACTAAAAGTCGATCACACAATCCAGATATCTGCTTGTCATGAAGCATTATTCACTCACTTTCTAAGCGCTCAGAAGCCTGGGCAGAGACTGAGGATCCATCCATCTTCTCGAGCTTTTCAACTTTCTTGTCACAGCCAACAAGCTGTCCCGTAGCACTCTTGAGAGTTGCCTCTTTGAGCGCAGAGGCATCGCTGTTCTGCAACTCTTTGGCTTTCTGCAGGACGTCTTTGGAAGACCGAGGCTCTTTGTTGGGGCCGTGTTGACACAAGTACTTGGCTACAACGTCCCACCTGCTCGCATTGAACTTAAATTTTAGTGCCATCATTTCGCAGTGATAAACTACAACACCTCTCTCTACACGTGCAAATAAACCAATATAGTCTCCAAACAATCAAAATTAATTACCATCATTGATTTATGTCTGGTCGCATGTGTCACATGTTCACAGCCATGCTGAAAAACAACCGCATACCAACTGTCGTGATTCTCTATTCCATTTCAATTACGTATACTTATGAAGAGATGAACATTAAAGGTAATCAAATGCAGTTTCCAACAGCTGTGTTACTATGGGCAGCTTCACTAAACAGCTGTGATATTATGAGCAGCTTCATTAAACGTTTTACTATATGCAGCTTCATTCAACAGCTGCCTCACTACAAGCAGCTTCATTGAACAGCTGCCTCACTACAAGCAGCTTCATTGAACAGCTGTTTTACTAAATGCCACTTCATCAATCAGCTTTTTTACTATATGCTGCTTCACTTATCAGTTGTTTCACTATATGAAGCTTTATTGAACAGCCGTTTTAATATACGCAGCTTCACTTATCAGCTATTTCACTACTTGCAGCTTCATTGAACAGCTATTTTACTACATGCAGCTTCTCTAATCAGCTGCTTTTGCAGCTTCACTAATCAGCTGCTTTACTATATGCAGCTTCATTAATCAGCTGCTTTATTACATGCAGCTTCACTAATCAGCAATTTTACTATAAGCAGCTTCACTAATCAGCTATTTACTATAAGCAGCTTCACTAATCAGCTATTTACTATAAGCAGCTTCACTAATCAGCTGCTATACTATGAGCAGCTTCACTAATCAGCTGCTATACTATGAGCAGCTTCACTAATGAGCTGCTATACTATGAGCAGCTTCACTAATCGCCGCCCGCAGCGCTGCTGCTGCGACTGCTGCTGGAGGAGCCTCCTTGGTGCTGCCATTCGCTTGACTGTAGTTACTTTGGTTCATGTTTGTGATGTTAATGTTGGCTAACTTCCCGGAGCGTAAATCATTCACCTAAAAATCATAGCAAAGTGTTAGTGAGAACAACAACACGAAATTATGCTTTATATTTGAACAGCACATCATGCACAGCACAAACCAGCACATCATGCACAATACAAACCAGCACATCTTGCACAACACAAACCAGCACATCTTGCACAATACAAACCAGCACATCTTGCACAGCACAAATCAGCACATCTTGCACAACAAAAACCAGCATATCTTGCACGGCACAAACCAGCACATCCTGCACCACACAAGAGAGCACATCATACACACCACAAACCAGTTCATCTTGCAGTACACAAACCAGTGCATCTTGCACAACACAAACAGCACATCTTGCAAAACAAAAACCAGCATATCTTGCACAACACAAACCAGCACATCTGGACACAAGATAGCACATCAAGCAACAAATGTCTCACCTGGACTCGGTCTTTTTCTTCAACAATGAAGTAGTCGGCTTCTTTGCACATATCACGCATGGTCTGTGAGAAAAATTTGCTTATTAAATTGCATTCAAAAGATTTTAAACTTGTTTTTTGCCATCATACAGGGATTTTAGCATCAGCTCGGAATGCATGCACCTCAAAACTCGTTAAATTGGATAAAAAACATAAGTCGTCTTGTTAAGTAGTTTTGAAAAGTACTTTTTAGATGGGTGCAGGAAATCTTGAGGTATTAATTTCAGCAAATTTACTACAAGGATGTCATCCAAGGAGATTATAAATTGATCTCAATAAAATGCGCTCATCAATCATCACTAACACAGACAAAATTTAACAGACAAACAAAATCGTCCATTTCATTCCCATTCTTATCCACATAGACAGCGTGAATAGATCCAATATTGGTCTTATATTTAAATTCAAATTTAACTCCATATACAGACTAATATTGTCTTATATATATGTACCATATTTATTCTCAATAAATAGACTCAATATGGTCTTAGTTACCTTCCTCTCCACACGCAGTTGTTTCTTCATTTGTTCTCTTTCTTTCTTCTCCCGTGCGAGGCGTTCTTTCAGTTCGGCTTCTTCCTTGGCTTTTCTGAGCCGCTCTTCCTCTTCCAGACGTATTCTTTCCTGTGTAGAGGACATGTATCAGCTGGTCATGTGATGGTCATCATAATTAAGATTTGGTAAGAAGACCCATGGAAGGAACCGTTGTCTGAAGCATCAGACAACTAGCCTCTTTTGCTGAGGTTGAGAAACTTAAAGTTTATTCATGATAGCATCAGACAACTAGCCTCTTTTGCTGAGGTTGAAAAACTTAACGTTCATTCGTGATTACGAGTCCATCAAACTCGATAGACTGACTAAGCAAATTTTTGTCAGCCAGTCTTTCAGTTCCAATTTTTCCTGTTATTATTAGGTCTTTCTAACAAATCATCAAAAATAAGAGGACCCACTAATGGCTTGCTCCAAGTAATACATTTTGGTTGTTACAAGAACTTAAGTACCACCATCAGAGACCTCTTACTTCTCCAACAGCATCAATTTTTGTTCAACAACTGATAATAAGAATTGAAGTAGCAACGACCACACTTAATAAATAAAAGCCACTACCTATCAGTGACAGAACGCGCTTGTCACGGTTCACTCACTTGTAATTCCTGCTCTTCTCTGTGACGAGCGGCTTCTTGTTTTGCTCTCTTCACTGACAGCTTCTTCTCCCGCTCAGCCTCGCGGAACCTGCCGAAATAGTTACATTAATGTAATTTGTTTTACAGCCTCGTACAACCTACGGAAATTGTCGCATTACTGTACTGCAATTTGTTTTACAGCCTTGTAGAACCTGCAGAAATTGTTGGTTTTACAGCCTTGTACAACCTACGGAAATTGTTGCATTACTGTACTGCAATTTGTTTTACAGCCTTGTAGAACCTGCAGAAATTGTTGCATTACTGTACTGTAATACGTTTTACAGCCTTGTAGAACCTACGGAAATTTTTGCATTACTGTACTGTAATTCGTTTTACAGCCTTGTAGAACCTGCAGAAATTGTTTTACCTGCTGGCAGTTTAATAGAATGTTTGGAGTTTGGCAGGGTTAGTCACATTAGCAAGTTATTATGCACATGAAGCAGCAGCTTTAATGTCTACTCTGATACACCTTGTTTAATACAATAGCATATGTATTTCTCCTCTCACCGATATATTGAAAAATATTTATATCAGCAGAGAAATAGTAATTTTTACTTACTTTGACTTCGAGATATTACAAAAAATGATTAGTTAAAATTGAAGATTAAAATTATTTGGAAAATTCCAATGTCTCAAATAATTCCGTAGTAAAGAAAATAACGATCCTGCTCAAATACACAAAAGCAATCATGAATGTAGCAACAATACAAACTGAGCTCACAAAAACGATACGACCATAAATTAAGCATAAGCAGAGAACATAGAATAATAACAATGATGTGACATGTGTCATGAAAAAGCAGTAGAAATACCTTCAGTTCTTCCTAATCTCATACATACATGAGTACGTTTTAAATGCAAATTTTCCAAAAAATGTATCAGAAAATCCATGAAATATCCCAATTATTACGGATATGATCAAATGATAATATTGAAACTCACTGGATTTTGCATACCGAACCATCAGAAAATGAGTACTAAATAACCAAGGACATAACATATGCTAATTAACAAGTGCAAGATGCAATTGAGTCTCACTGGATAACTCGGGGGTCGAGCTTGTAGGCGTTGTCGACGAGCTTCCTGATGCGCGTGTTCTCCTCCTTGCGGCGCACGGCGCGCTCAGCCTTGTTCTGCTTCTCAATCCAGCGTCGCTCGTCCCGATCCTCACCCTTCTCTTTATCTTCTTCGTCCAGGTATGAAAACTCCCGCCATGAGTCAAAGTTGTACCAAAAATCGTAGAAATCGTCCACCTGCACAATCACACAGCAGCAAGTTAAAATAGTGCAGTTTATGTAGTACTAGATATCGTCCACCTGCACAATCACACAGCAGCAAGTTAAAATAGTGCAGTCAAAGACGAATTAGAAGCTGTATAAATTGTCAGCCTGGGCATAGTCATAGAAGACCTCTTGATACACAAAATCATACTACAGGAAAAGAAGAATTTAAATTAATAACCATCCAGAGAAGCGCATACTTTATTTATCAAGACCAAGTATTATTACAGATGTATATGTATATATATGGTCACATTATAAATCAATGATATCTACAGAAACATTATGTGGGTTCAGGACAAGAGTTCAGATCATTTTATGTTATACATAAATCAAGGAGAAGCCCTTCAAAGATTTTCTTCCAAAAACTACAATAAATAAAGCTAGCAAACCTTCTCTTTGGAGTCTTGGGGAGTGCCAAGTTGAGGCACATGCTTGCGTTGTGACCAGCGAGAGTTGCGCTCAAACACAGGACCAAACACCTGCATAATAGTAACTGTTTATTTCAAACTTTTGAACGGTATTTGAAGAATGCCCTGCTTCAAATAACATTTGGCATAAAATCACATACCTACAGAACTTGAGGCACTAGGCTTCAAACACACAAATTTTCATAGATATATAATAAGTGAGGCTATACAATAGGTGAGGCTACATAATAGTTGAGGCTACAGTTTGGACTAGTATTCCATGATAATAAATTGGTCAAGTATAATCTTGCAAGTGATCACCATCACATAAATAAGCAAGGATTCAGCAAGTGGCAGTATGAAAATAAATACCAAATAAAGCAACTTTAAGGTGGCTTAAAAATGTGTAGTAAGCAAGCATATGTAACAGAAAAATATTAAAACTAAGTCTTCTCTCCACAAAATTAAGGAGTGAAAAGGAGAACAATTAACACCCCACATAAAAGTTGGGTTGGGTTAGAAATTTGGTCAGAAGGCTCATAGAAAAAACTTGAGTTCATTAATATCATAAAAATGGTCTATCCATGCCCCCCAAAGAATGAACCCACCTCAAAGAACTTTTCCTTGTTGATAGGTTTGTCTGAAGGCACTTTGTTATCAAACTCAGGATCAATGCTGTCATACGAGCGTCTCTTGATAGGGTCACCAAGGATTTCATAAGCTTTAGTGATGTTGGTGAAGTAGTCATCACCATCTCTGACATCCTCACCAGCTCCTCTCCGCTTGTCAGGGTGATGCTTCAGCACCATCAAGCGATCTATGAACAAATGGAAATATGCCTACAAAAGGAACATCAAACTAGCCAGTGCCTGATTATGGTGAAACAATAGCTTCTTCAACAAAACTATTTCTTGCATTAGAAAATATTGGGCAGGATGTTGAGTGATATGAAAAATTTTTATGTTCTTCAGACTTAAGGCGGCTAGCCCTATTGTTTAGAAGATTGATCCAAGTGACTGTTTGGAGTATCTTTACAGGTTGAGTTAGTGAACAAAATGTAATAAAGTATTAACTTGTATGCATCGCGTGGCCCTCAATCTGTTGAAACATGAAAACTAGGATGAGAATACAAAGGAAGCCTTTTCTCCATCAGAGGAGATCACACAATTAATTTTAATCTACAACCTTTTTTAATTTAAATGCTAAAAGTGCTCTTTCTGTTGGCGTATGAGACGATTAAAGCTATGAGTTTCAAAGATTTCAAAATATTTCACAAATAATGGCCATTTCTGAATCAAAAAAGGTTGCCAAAATCTCACAAATACAGGTTTTCACTGTAGCTCTCTTGCAAGGTAAAAATCTGAACTTGTTTATATCACTTCATATACTGTACTGTATGTATATATAGGTATATGGTATTATGTGAAGTGATAAAATATATCACCTCACATAAAAAAATCTACAAGAGAAGACTGTAGAAAACTCTAAAGATCTCACAAAAAATCTGATGGAAACGCATCAGAAGGGAGCACCCAACTTACGTGCTTTTTTTATATCTTCGTCCGAGGCTTTGTATCGATACTCGTGCAGTCCCAATACTCTGTAGTGGTCTTGATCCTGTAGAACAAATCAATCTAGTGTAAGTAGTCAGAAAAATACTAATGGGAAATAATTACTTCAGAAAGTATTTAGGTCTTTTTACTGAAAAAGAAAGTTTTAGCCTCAAAAATTCACAAACAATTTTTGCAGGCAAGGCTGAACACTAAATGAAAAATGTGTATCTAGACTGTAATTTAAACTTTTCCAGACTCACAGCATATATAAGTCAGCATTGAAAATTTCAATCATGAATGAAGGTTTTACCTTAAATTTTAGGATTTCTATAGGGGGTGATGAATACATGTGTACTTCAGCTAAAATTTGTCATTTTTAGGCAACTTAAGTGTGCTACTCAAGTTCTTTTCAACTTTAACCCAAATATTTCCACCTTGACTAATATAAATGTCAACCCAGATATAGCCATTTCATTTTGAGCTGTCTTTTAAAACCTTATACGTACAAATGAAGCTAATACAATGGCATGACTGGCAACTAATATTGATTTATGTTTCAAAAAATTTATAGACAACATTGCTTAGGCTTCAACATTGTAAAGACTTTAATTTAATTTAAATCTTTGCAGCAGTGTATATTACCTTCCATTTACAGGGATCCAAGGATCTTAAGAATGTGATATCATCTTGAATGACAATCTCTTTGTTCTCTCGTTCCTTGCTGTCGTCACTGTTGTCAGACTCCGTCACTTTGTCTTCTTGACTGTGGCCATGACGTCTGTTGTGCTCATACTGGTGATACCACACACCCACAGGCTCCAATTCCACTTGTATCAAGGCTGAAAAAGAGGAACACATTTAAATATACAGGAACATGTCAAAATGCAGCAAACAACCCCACAAACATAAGTGCAGATTACATACAATTTGATGATTATAGTAGTATCACAAATAAACATTTTATTAGTGAGTTGACTAAATTTGGGCATTTAGTAGCAATCATGAGCAGAAATTGGATAAATGTTGGTCTTTAGCCTATAGCAATAGTGGAAGGATTGTCACCATAAATATGCCTCCTGGAAGCTGCTTAATTTTAGTGATGAATAGAAATTTATCAATCTTGCAGTGGTATGCAGTGTGGAATTCTAGAGAGATATTAAATTAAGTACACATATAGCATATTGGAAAGGCCATCACACAACCTATCACAGTCTAGAGTAGATGACATTACAACCAATCACAGTCTAGAGTAGATGACATTACAACCAATCACAGCTGGAAAGAGATATGCATCTGCCCAAAAATGACAGAAAACTTTAGCACTATTCTAGAATTCCAGCCTGGTGTTATGCACATAAATTCCTCCATGAAACAAAATACATGTCTGCATTTTTAGCTTTTAAACCCATCAAAACAATGTGATTTGCAGACTTGATATTTCAGTCCAAATATTTTTCTAACCTTTGTTTGATGTGACAGAGCTTGAAAATATGTAAATATCTCCAACTTAAAGGCTCTACATTACCAATCTGGAACAACAGTCAAATTTTGTAAAAATTGCAAGTAAAAACAACAGTTTCACAGGTGATTCCTAAAAATCATGCACAAGCATGTACCTTTGCACTTAATTTAAATAAAATAAATTAGGCAAAAGCCACAGAAATGGATGAAATTATCACAACAACAAGCACAGTGTGTACAGACATTTTGGTATTGAGCAAAGTGGAAGTAGAACTCTAGGGATGGTGTGCTGGTCTGTAGTTGATAATTATATTTTCATGTTTGATCAAGCCTGGTAACTTTACCAGCTCCAAAATATCAGCTAAATATAACAGGAATTTCTAGTTTCAGAGTTTGATATCAATATATATGCATTTTTTTGTTTGTATAATACATCCCATTACCTTCAAAACTGTTCTTGGAATATTGGTATGAAGTTTCCATAAACTGCAGGCATGGTGGCAAACTAATTTTTTGCCAACTCACAGTCAGACTCATTCATAAATTCATAATTCACATTGTATTGTTTTACCACAACAGGACCAGGATGGCTAATGTTAAGTATTTTCAAAGTTTGTTTTGTTTGAATTTTCTAATCTTGATTTGATAACATCCAGAAGCATGATATAGTATACTCTCAAGCAGTACTTCAATCGTAATTCAAACTTCAACACATGAATGGTCCATAGTGATGATAGATATCATAATATTTGTATGTTCCAATACACATTTTTCTCAAATATTTATAAAATGGTTGAAAGTAAAACTGCAAATTGTACTTCATTTTGAAAAGCAAATGATTATCTATAAAATGTCTTTTTCAAACCTCAACTGGCATAATGAAAAATGTCATTCCAAGGACTCTAAGAATAACAAGTCATCAAATTTTTTTCACTCAAAATGTTGCCCTATTGCCACTGTGCAGAAAGTGGGTGAATATTGCAAGATTTTTGGTGATGTTTCTGCAGCTAAATTTACGCCTCAGAAGATCTTGCCAACACATTTGGATTGAAATTATTGCATTTAAGATAATCGCCAGTCTTTGGCCAAGGTTTCCAATACATTGGATGGATCAGGATGCAGTGAAGCTTGTCCAGAAATCAGTTGCAATGAGTTCCCACCAAAATATACTGCAATTGTAAATAAAAAGTAGTTGCGGTCACATCAGAGTGGTCAGACTGCATTATCACATGTTCCGATGACAATTAAGTGAAGACAATGTTAGTGTTGCTGTACAATCGTATTGTTTTTAGAGTAAAATTAGTTATTTGGGGTAATACGTGCATGTGACCTTGTAAACAAGTTTGTGGCTTGTAAATGGCTTTTCATTGCCCAGCTTAAATGGCTTTTCATTAAAAATTACCCGGCAATGATTTTGAAAATGGTTGGCGACGCTTTTGGCTTGAAAACCCATATATTGGCGACGCTGCTTGCACCCTCTGCACCCTGGCCCTATTGCCTTATTATTATGTCAAATTCAAAACGAGAGCTTGTAACAGAATCAGATGAATGAGCTTGATTGACAGGAGCTGAGTATTAATTTGAATTTTAAAGTCTTGCACTGCTCTAGAAGCTGGGACTGACTGAGGTTGTCTGTGCTCTTGCTCCCAGACATGTTTATTAAACAGGTGCATTTCCAATGTCTGCCTTACATGCATTTTTCATTCATGATTTATTGTGAAATATAGAATGTAGATATATGCCTAGGCAGGATTGGAATTTTCCTACCTGTTTCTGAACTCTTGCAGCTCTGCCGTATGTATTTTTAACACATTTGGAATCTCGCGGACCAAACGGCAAACATGCCCTAATGGCAGGCAAACGTGCCCTTTTGTAAACAATTAGATAGGAGGTAATTCATCTGGCAGGAATCTCACGGTTCTGGCAATGGGGGAAAAGCTCCAATTGCAGCCCTAAAGGGAGATGTTTTCCATGTTTGTGCCTAGGTGACCTTCACAATTCCTTTGTTGTCGTTACAGACAATAGGCATGAAGCACATGATCATCTGCCCAGTTGCCCTCACGAGTCATGATGATTGCAGATTTGCAGATAAAAACAATTTCAGGTACATTTTTAAAATTGTAGGAGTAAATAGGCCAGACTCATAGTCTTTTTTTAGTCTGATCAGGGAACTTCTGCACAATTTTCCATTCAGTTACACCTAGGAGTAGGCTGACCTAACAGAATCATTCCATAAATCCATCTAATCTATGGCTAACATACTCACATTATTAGTCACATGGTGCCAAACCAGAGATTTTATTAATTAGTTCACTTTCAGTTTCCTCATCTGCTCAATTCAATATTTTAGTCAATTAGGGTAAACGCGGTATATTCCGACATTGTGGGTAATTCCAACACTTCTTGACTTTTTTCCTTTATATTAAGCTTTTTCTTAGTTCCATCAACTTCCATGCATTCGTTGATGGTTGAAATAGTGACGTCATACATTTACATGCCATACTATTGCCAAAACACTAGGTCTGGGCTGTCTGACAGGAAAATGTTGAGATCCAAAGAGAGACAGAGCCCATCACCGACGGTCACTCAGTGAGAACATCAAAAAATTTGTCAAAGTTGATAGTTCACCTTGCTCTACCAAATAGTGATAAACTGTTTGTGTAGAAAGAATATTATGGTTTGAGACTTTTCAATACGTATGTGAATATATTAGGAATCCTTCAAGTATACTTGTATCTGCTGATTTCAAGTGGTAAAAAAATTAATAGATGATTAAGTTAAGAGACGGTTTTAGACACATAAAAACCAATTCCAACACAGCTTGGAATTAGACACACACAGCTCGTTCCAAGCTGTGTGCGAAAATTAAAATTTTCTTAATTAAAAGCTTAGTAGCTCTTAATTAAAAGCCTAATTAAGTAGTGTTCAATATTCAATAGCATTCTAATTCCAAGCTGTGTTGTATTCCAATACAGCTTACACAGCGATCAGAATTCAAACACAAAAGTGTCAGCATTACGAATTAGTAGAGTTTGAAGCGCGGCTGGAATTAGTCTCACAAAATGCCCAATTTAGTCACACACTGTCGGAAAATATGGATTTGGCAGGTTTGCATTCTAAAGGCTTTTAAATAAATATGGCAACATTTTGTGACATTTCATTGTTGCTGGCGCATAGTGCGGTGTTTTGAGAGTGACGTAAAGCAAACAGAACTCGAGTTGCGCATACGGTGTATTTTTTATAGCCATTCAGATGATCTCACCACGTGGCATGCATTGTCTCTCTTTGGATCTCAATATTTTCCCACTAGATAACCAAGACCTAGTGTTTTTGCAGTATTTCGACACGCAAATGTATGACGTCACCATTTCAACCATCAATGAACGCATGGAAGTACTAAAACAAAGCTTAATATAAAGGAAAAGCTGGAGAGGTGACGGAATTACCTACGATGTCGGAATATACCGCGTTTACCCTATTTTTTATAGCCATTCATTTTTGCTATGTCCTTAAAGTGTCTAAATATACTGCGTTTACCCTACCTAAGTTAGCTTGAGGAAGGGCAGCAAAAAAAAATGTTCTTCTTTGCCACTATGCTAATAATGCTATGGCTGTGGCATTTAGACTTTAAAATTTTAGACAAATTGATAAATAAATAATTGGATTAAATTTAGGAATAAATTGCACTTGGTTCTTTGGATGTGTATGTGAATTGAGGTCATGTGAATTGTGATGAGTGACTGTGACAGATGACTGATTAAGTTTAAGTGTTTACTGTTTAGGGGCTTTGAGCCTTTGACTTTGAGTATTCAGTATTTTGAATATAAAATGCAAATTATGTAATATAAATAATTTTAAAATAAAAACAATAATAATTGAAAGCAAAAACAATTTTAGCAGCAGAAACATTTGGCTGTTCTGTTTTACTTACGAGATAAGCCTCCTTTGATAATAACAGTGAACGGAGACTCGTCAACAGCTGAATCCATGAGTTACGCTTACGTCTAGTAAAAAATAGGTAAATCTGAATAAAGATTAGTTACCAAGTAAACACCTTTTTTGTATTTTCAAATATAATATCAAAATTGATTTTTTATTCTCATCAGAGCACATATACACTCAAACTTCATAGTGAAGTGCACAAAAATGTGCCACTGTTCTGCACGCGGCCTTTACGGAACACCTGAATCAAAATAAACAGCCGCGCATTCCGATTCTTTATTGAACTAGGAAACTAAAGTTAGCTGTCTTGGGATTCAGACTCAACTTTTTGAGTTGAATCGTTCTCATTTACTATTTCGCTGCGTTCATTTGGTTTTAATTCCTTTCATTTTATTGAAAGCATGAATAGCCGTGTCTCACTGTTGAATCATATTTGAAACGATTTTTAAACTACATCTGGAACTTGGAGCGTAACTTCGAAAGAAGCATGCTTAATTGCATTTCTTACAAATAAATGATATTATACACTGCATAGCATTGTTCGATGTGGATGATTGGAATTTTATTGCAACTTCAAACTCCCATCAGCAGTTTTGACAGTTAAATAAAGACTCGATACAACATTTTACCAATAAATCACGCTACAAACTCCGGAGTAATTATTTCAGAACTTCGATTGATTACTAAATTTTAACTTGCATTGCCTTGCGTACGCCACGAGATATTCCATTGTAATTCAAATTCGGTATTGCTTTCTATAAAAATCCTAATCCAAACTCTCGGCTGACGATTGAAAACAGTATAAATTAAATAGAATTGTATAACTACTGTGTATCAAGGGAGGCTGCTGCCAATAGACCGGAGTTTAGCGTTGCCGCCGGAGCTTAGGGTTGGGGCGCATGAGCCAAACTTCCTTGGAGGCAATCGAATGTAGTCCTCAGCAGATTCAGTGCGCAGTCAGTTTAATACAAAAAATCTCTTTGTCTCTGCAAAGAATCCAGCAAGTACCACTCCGTTCAACTAGATGGGGCGACGAAATGGTTAAAACGATTGTAGAGAGAGGCGTTTATGGCATGTCTGCGAGACGAGCGGAAGGGAGTGTGAGGGATTCGGAGGGCGCCTTTGAGGAACTGTGAGCATGTCATGTTTAGATGGGCTAACAAGGGTGAATGGCCCTGGATCTGGTCTATGAATGCAGGTGTAAGGGTGGTAAAAAAACCGGAGGAAACTGCAATACTGTTTTCTGAATTGTTGCGAGAGGCAACAGGAAATCACATAGGGCTGCTTAGTTAAGAATTCGACGTGTGATTATTCTGTAGGTTGCTGTCCTCTTTTTCCTTTGTCCGTTCAATTGTTTTGAACCAATCTTGTCGCTATTTATTAATGAGTTTCCAAAGTGACCCTCTTTATTTGGGAAATTTTATGCCGTGTAATATGGCCATTCCAAATGGTGGCGTTGTTTTATTGTGGGATAAATGCATATTCCGGTGCGAAGAACAAATAAAAGACTTCCCAGGCGCAACAGCCAACTTTTTAGTGGGCACCGACCGACTTTTAGGGGATCCTTACCAGGAAAAAGAGCCCTCTAAATATGATGGAGGCTGATCATGGAGCACCTGGGATGCGAAGAGAAAGAGGAATAAATGGACATAGAAAATAGGTCAAATGTATCCTTTGAGTGAATACAAAGGGCCACTAATTCTTCTCAAACCGAAATGTTTTTCTAAATTGTTTAATTTTTTATCCTGCTATGTATAACCCGACCATCATTATATTTTATCAGTGAAAACAAATGCATTTGAATGGTCAGTACAGACAATGCACAAAGACTGACGCTGATGGATAACAATCGATGGGCATGGCGGATACCAGTCTATACAATTAATAATTTTAAACATACCTGTATGGGAAATATCTCGACAGACAAGTCTCGGAGGTTTTCGGTAGTTTTTTATAGAGGCTTTTCAAACTGATATCCATTTCTAACGTTTCTGATTCGAATTGGATTAATAGAAATTAATTTTAGATGAGTATATTTTGGTGTTGACTGCATTTTTTCGTGAGAAATTTGAAAAACATCATATTTAGTTATGTTTACAGTGAAGTTGCATGATAACAAAAATACTCGGTGCGGAGACAGCGAATCGTCAGCGTTACCGGTAAAGGTGCCTGTACACAGGGATAGTACTACCCGCTAGTTCGTCCGCCGCTTGAACTGTCCACGCTACTAGCCTCGTGTATAAGGGGTTCAGCCGCTTGAGAGGCATGCGCCGGCAAGTGCCCGAGACGCGGCCGAGAGGGACAACGATGTAAAGAAGACCTTATTTGTCAGGGTTTAGTTGTTCCCGACGTTGCATTTTTAAAGGTTAGAATAAAGAGTATAAAAATGACGTACAGACTCGAGTTGTTGAAGGTGATCCCACTATCCATCTTCGCAAACCTCACTCGACGGCTTATAACCGACGCCCTGGCGGGCGCGAACGAGAAGATAGCGGCACCTTCCACTCTCCTCGTGTCTACAGGCTTACTTGCCGGATAGTCACCAAGCGACCGACACTAGCCAGATTTACTAGCCGTCTGCACTATCCCTGTGTACAAGCACCTTAAGTCTCGGACAAATTTACGGCCTGACTCGCGGCCGGTCTTACGGCAAATCTCCAAATTCGGTGACCAAGGAATATCTCCCAAACTAATGAACGCAGTTCCCCGAAACTAAGTATACGTATTCAGCAGGACCTAACGGTGATGTTTAGCTCATGAAAATTTTCTCCATTTCACCTTCATTCGCGAATTATACGGCAATTCGTGCCGAAATTTGCTGTGACCAAGAAATTTCTTTTAAACTACTGAACAGATTTGAACGAAACGTTTGTTATATATTCCTAACCCTCCATGGGTGATGTTTAGCCCGTTTTTCGGTAATACCTTCGTTTGCGATGCTTTTTCCATTTCACCTTCATATGTGAGTTATAGAGCAATTCGGGCTGAAATTTGCAGTGACCAAGAAATTTCTCTTAAACTACTTAACAGATATGAACGAAACTTTGAATATACAAATCTAACCTCTCAGCGGTGATATTTAGCTCGTGACAATTTTTTTATTTTGCTCTCGTTCGCGAGTTATACGGACATATGGAGAAACTACAGGCATTTCTGAGGCTGATTTTAAATCTACATTGACAAAGGGCCGTATACGTATAACTCGCAAACGAAGAGAAGTCGAAAAATTTGACACGAGGGATGTTTCAAACCTAACCGTTGGGAGGTTAGGTTTGTATATTCAAACTTTCATTCAAGTCTGTTCAGTAGTTTAGAATAATTTTTTTGGTCACTGCGAATTTCGACCCGTATTGCTCAATAACTCACGAATGAAGGTGAAATGAAAAAAAAAGGTCACGCGCTAAGCATCACCGTTGGGAAATTAGGTTTGTAAATTCAAAGTTTTGTTCAAATCTGTTGAGTAGTTTAGAAGAAATTTCTTGGTCACTGCAAATTTTGTCTCGAATCGTTCTATAACTCACGAATGAAGGTGAAATGGAATTTTTTTTTCATGAGCCAACCATCACTTTTAGCCTTTTAGGTCATAATGAACACGTGTATCAAGTTTCATCGAGCTGCGCCCATTAGTTTGGAAGATATTCCTTGGTCATTGAATGCGGAGATTGGCCGTGAGACCGGCCGCGAGTCCGGCCGTAAATTTGTCTAACACCTGTTACCGGCGTTGACTCGCTCGCACTGCAGACGCATTACAAGGTCACAAAATCTATTTGCTTTGTCAAATGATACACTAAAAGTATGTTCATTTAATCTAATTTATCCGCTTTTGAAAGCCCCGTAAAAGAATGTGGGAAAAATCTATCAAAACACTAGGTCGACACTTTAACGGCCACATTCAAGATGGCATTTGTCGTGAAACAAATGCTTGTGTGTAGTAAATTCAAAAGCACCTATGCTCTTTTGATCATGATCCACCCTTTGTGAATCAATTTTTAGATATAATAATGTGATCTCTGCCAATATGGCTTCGACCTTAGAGCACTCGAGAATTTGTAATTTTACTCTTGGGCCAAGTACTAAGTCTCGAAAAAAGCGCCTGCATATAAATTTTAATATAGCGGAGCCGTTTTGATGACTAAATTATTCTATTACGAGAACGTGTGATGCGTAACACTTGAATAATATGCATACAAAGATGATATTGATTGTCAACGAAAATATTTCCACCGCTTATACAAATATTTGTATCTAATCAAGGAATTTCGTGTAGTTAATATTATGTTTAGGCTCTAAACCTGACTTACCCTACTCATTGAACTAACTTAGCGACTGTGATTCTGAAAAAGAACCATCCGCCCATCTCTTAGAAGTTATGGTTGCAGTCTGAGTGTATACGACCGCTGTTGTATCGGCCTGAATTCAATTTTTAAATTGAAGGTAATCTGTTTGTAGAGGGAATTTTGTGAATTGGCATTAGTTATTTTGAATTTGTGTTCCGTCATGAATATTTCAGTTTATTTCTCATGATTTTCACCTAATATTTCGCCAAAAAGTGTTACCGGGACCGGGTAGGTAGGCAAACTAAACAGTCTAAAGTTCTTTCCATTGTTAGGTAGTAGCGTTTTATTTTTCAACTAGGCCTACTAAATATTTAACGTGCATTTGTATTTGAGATTGTAGCCTACGATGTTTATCTTACAGCAATCATAACTTATTCTAGGAATTCAGTGTAATTTTGTTCTTTCAATATAACGAGTTGTGATAGAAATTTCGACTTTTGAAGAACCTGAGCTTCAGTTCAAGTGTCACTGTCGTTCACTCATTCAGATTCAGTCATTAGAACTGTGGACGGCCGGTGGGAAATGTTTATGATCCTTTAAAACTAATTACACTGTGTAAATACTGAGCCTTAGTGGAAGCACATTTCTTAATCAATTATTTGTGCTATTGATAGTAGATAGAGTTTAGAGATAGTTCTTTCTTCCATACCTAGGCTAACTGCTAAACAGCTGAAGATAGGCTAGTACAATTTGACTAATTGCAGTTAGAAACTTAGAATCATCAATTTCAAGAAAATATTGGAAATTTCCTGCCTAGTAGGTACTTGAATTTTGTGGGTGGCCCAGTGTGAAATTCTAGAGGGATATTAAATTAACCAGTAGGGTAAATGCGGTATATTCCAACACATTAAGGACGCATTGAGAAATGAAAAACTATGAAAAAATAATCGTATGCGTTACTCGAGTTCTGTTGGCTTTACGTGACTCGCAAAACACATTACTACGCGCCAGCAACACCTTGAGTAATTGTAGGACTAAGTCTCTGTGCTATGTTGACTGACTACACTACAGATTACAAAGCACAACTTCACTGCCACAAATCCTGACTTCATATTAATTGAGCTATTTAAGCCATAGACTCCTGTAGGGAAGATATGAATGTCCATTATCATAGATAATTTTTCACATTCCCAAGGTCATATTCTTATTGTTTTTTTTTTAAAGCTAAGAATATTTTTTTTCTGTAATTTTTATAAATGGACTGTGAAACAATTAATTTTTGCTAGCGATTTTTGGAGAATTTTGACTGATGTTTCAGATTGGACACAAACTTTTCAGGGGAGTGAAAATTGGAAAAATGAAGAGGGTAATATATTTTCTACTTGCATTACAGCAGAACTCTCATCTTATTGAGTGATATTGCACTGGACCTTCTCTTTATACTTGGCCTAATTTTTTTGATCAATCAAGAGACCTTAGTCAGCTAGTGCCTAGCTGGATCAACATTGAATATAGAACTGCTATATATACTAAATTTCCACCTCAATTTGTGATTTCTATTTTGTTTTCTATAATGGCTTTCATTTCTTGAACTGGCTTGTATATTCTCATCACCTATGAAATTCTGATGTATTTACTCATTGAATTTTTTCATATTTTTCTTTCAGGAAGTAACAAAACAACACAAGAATGGTGCGCATGAATACCCTGGCTGATGCTCTCAAGTGCATCAACAATGCTGAGAAGAAGGGCAAGCGGCAGGTATGAAATGTGTGCAATTGCTACAAAATTGGTGTAGTATGGCAGAATTTGTTATTGGATAGAAGTTGGATTATAGATTATATGCATTTGATTTATGGAGAGATGAATAGGTATATGTGAAATATTGATTCCCTAGTGCTGCAAGTTTTCTGGTGCTCTAAAAAGTTTCATAATATGAAAATGTATCTTCAAACATGTTGTAGAAATATTTCAATTACTGCATTCTGCTATTGGGCAATTTGCTGGGCCAAAATTTCTTGCATCGTGTATTTTAACTTCACAAACCTTGTCATTCATTACTGGTTATGAGTAATCCAAAGTGTTCTTTGTTCTTCTCCTGCAGGTGCTGATCAAGCCCTCATCTAAAGTTATTGTCAAGTTCCTGACAGTGATGATGAAGCATGGTAAGTGCATGGATTTACAGCATTGAATTCCAGATTTCATCTCCTAATCAGTTGCGTTGATTTACTCAGTTGTTTCAATGCTAATAGGCTACCATACCATTGCCCTAGTCCACTTGCTTCAACAGGAAAATACCCACAGAACTCATTCATTTCGAAGTATTGTTGGTTCATATTTTTACAAGATGCAAGCAATTTTTCTAATCAAATTTTTAATTATGTATTTTCCCACTTATGCATTTGCGCATGTTTTAATAAATATTAACACTTATTTTCTTTTACGACTTTTCATTGTGGCCATGCAAAATACACTACGCACTGAAGTTGATAATCAGCCTCAAATCATTGAGTTTCATCACTACTTGTTTTGTGCAAACAGGCTACATCGGAGAATTTGAGATCATCGACGACCACAGATCCAACAAAATCGTCGTCAACCTAACAGGACGCATCATGAAGTGCGGTGTCATCTCCTCACGATTTGACGTTTCTAACCTGGCTATTGATAAGTGGGCCAACAACCTCCTGCCCTCCAGACAGTTCGGGTGAGTCGAGTCTTACTTCAGTGGTGCGCTTTGTCTTGCTTATTTTTGTTGGTTTCATAGCTTTTTGTCTCACTAGAACGCATTTTAAATTTATATCAGGACTATTTTTGTTGCTTACAGCTGCTCGTATGCAGGATTGTGTGAATAATATAAGCCATGGGCGCACTGAGCGCGCGTAAAAGTTCCTCATTATAAGTGTTGCAAGATTGCTTTAGTTTGGAAAAAAACACTTCTGTGAAATATTTGCTGAATTTTTTCTTGATCGCGCCTCTCCCCTCTTCCAGGCACGTTGTATTGACCACGTCCGACGGCATCATGGAGCACGAAGAAGCCAAAAGGAAACATCTTGGAGGCAAAATTCTAGGTTTCTTTTTCTAAATAAAAAGACCAGAATGATGCATTAAGATTTCTCTTCCCTGAACTGATCAGAACTCGTCTGTAATTTTTTCAACAAATTTGCTTTAAAAGCTCTCACTTAACGACATCGTTCATGTAGGAAAAAATATGCACCTGACCTAAATTTGAGCTTCTCAGGTTCCCCTCGCGGGTTTGTAAAGCTCGCCTGTAAAGTTAATAGCCTTCACCATTTCTCAAACCTCAGTCCTAGATTCAAATGGATAAATTCATAGGTTGTTTAGTCAAGTTCACCAAATAGTTGCTGCTAAGGAGAGGCTACCAGGTAGCTGAACTGACATCCTCTTGTAGGACGAAATAAAGGCAGTTCGGAATTTTAATGTTGAGTTGAACTTAAGTTTAATTCGCAAAGCTGTCGACAATTTCAACGCTTGCTGCATTTGGCCAAAGTTGATGCTAGAATTACGACTTGACCGCGCTCTGAATGGCTCGATTTGATAGCGTTGTCATGAATTTCAAGTTACAAATATCCTTGCAATTTTTAACCATTCAGAAGTCTAATCCGTCTACCTTCAGCGGCTAGTGAATATGACTGTGAAACGTCGTACCCTCAACTGGGGGGAGGGAGGCATGCCATCCTGGTGAACTGCTTCAATATATTCCATTATTTGTCGATTCGGCGAGGGCGGGACATTTTGCGAATGAGGAAAATTCATTAAAAAATGACGTATTCACAGAAAAAGTGGTGTAATTAATTTAAACATTTCACAACTTCGACCAAGACTCGACCTAATTTCTATATTTAAATTTACAAATTTTTTCACTGCGATCTGTTAGCAATTGGATCATTCGTTCGTAAAACGTTGCACTGCAAGTCATCGCTTGCACTGCAACGTCTCAGCGATGCGATAAATTAAATGCATAGAAATATAACCCATACTGCATCAACATTTTAACCGCTGCTCTTAGAGCAAAGCCTTTCGCTGGATTCCAGGCTATTCATGAAGTCCATTAAACCCTCCAGAACAATGGTTTCGTACTGTGGTAATTACTCCTGATTGCGCGTGTATTACTGAGAATTTTAATTGAGCCTCGATTGAAAAAAATCTGCGAAACGAGTAAACATTTTTGTTGCACTTGTAGAACATAAAATTCAGTCACAAGGTGAAGAAGTTAGAGAAACTGAGCAACCAGAGAACTGAACAAGAAATATAACACAAAATAGTTGAACATGATCATCCAGACCGTTGCTTCGACAATGTTTCTCAGCGGAACATATTTTAATTTTAGTTGAATATCCCTGGTGTGGAAGGTGTTCGTACCTAATGTGCACTGACCACAATTAACACAATCTCTCCGAGGTATCTTTAAACAGGCATATAGTCAACAATAAAAACATTTACCAGAGCCCAAAAATCGGCTCAGATTTGGGCTCGGCTATCCTCAGTGTCGGGGAGATCGTCATCACGCAACAGCTCCTCTTCAACTTCATCATTAACTGCTTGTTCTCTGAGGAACCTCATCAGCTTCTGGCAACTCGGCCTCGTTGATTTTGTTCAGCACACATACGCTGTTGATGCGCAGGTACGTCAATGGCTCACGAATAACTGCAACAACGCAACATCAACATGAGTTATTTGCATAGGGATCGATCACAAGTAGTAGTAGAATGATTTTCTAGCGCTTCAGCTATCAAACTATTTCGCACCGGAGGTCAAAATGTAATATCGCGAGGCAGAAGGTCCCAATTATTCAAAATCTCAAATTAATCATCACCCACAAGGGGCGGAAGGTCTCAATTGTCCAGCCCGCTGAAGCTGG